AATTGATCGATTGTCCATTACCAAAATTTGGTTAAATTCAGATTATGGTTTCTTTGAGGATCATCTTTTTTGGCAGATATCCTAGAAAATGCATATGCTACTTCATATAATTTTCTTTCATATTTGGTCATTCATTTATCTTGGGAAAAATTTTGGACATCTATAAATTGAATACATCCTTCCCACAACTAGAACATGAAAAAGTATCCACAATGTAGTCCTTTAGAAAGTTTTATTTAGGTGGAAAAATTATTCTCTCCTAAGTATATTTTTCTCTTTTTATATTAATATTATCATATGTAGGTCAGCTTGACCAAACTCATATCATATAATTATCGTCATTGAAGATTTGTAATTGATATCTTCCCTTTCTATCTAAAAGAAATGGTGCTCGATGAAAGGATCCAGATTCCACACTATGCTGTGGGCTGGGGAGAGAGCTGCTCTGCGAAGCTGGGCGCACATGATACCCTGATTAATGCGATCCCAGCGGTATCAGAGCCAGTGGTATCAGAGCAAATGGTTCAACGAGGTTGAAAATAGGTACAAAGCATATTCAAATCAAGTTGCATTCTGAAGCGCTACACGTGGAGATGGATTTTCAACCATATTTTCAAAAATCCTGCTGATACATCTTTAGATCAAAACTTTATTTTAACCCTGCAAAGGGCTATAATACTTTTCACCCCGCAAATATTCTATTTTTAAAGCATGTCAAGCTACAGTAATGACATAATGCACGTACTGAGAGGATATTCAGTTGGATGAGAAACCAAAATATTTGTATATATATTAGCTTTTTTTCCTTTTTGTATTTCAACGGATGATGAGCTAATGTGGGCCTAACATGCTTCCAGGTCAAGTGAACTATAATGTCGTAAATTTATTACTTCAAATCTCCAATGTCTTCTATTTGTCTTTTTTCCTATTTTACTTTATATTTATTTCTAGTAATATTTAAAAAAGTTACTCTCAAGTTTATATTACTTCAAAAGTAAAACCTTTCTACAAAGTAAATTTTTATTATCTCTTTCATAAAATATTCTAAAACATAAAATTAATTTTATTTGATGAAATCTATTGTATTTCTAAGAGTATGTTGAAAGTTTTAATTTATCTTACCTTAATTAGTGGTATTAATCTAGTTTAATTTGTAAGTCTTTTCTTATTGTCCTCTATTCGAAAATAATAGTAACTGTTAGCTTCCGCATGACGTCCTGATTATTTTGATCTCAACAGTTTGGACGTCAAATATCTTTCGTCAAATTGATCAATGAACATCGCAATACTAATTTAGCAAGAGACCGGGATAAAGAACTTGGTAAGTTAATGAGAAAAGTTAAAGGATTTCTCTATGAACTTGATAAAACTCAAAAAAAAAAGTAAATATTTGAATTATATTTGAAATAATAAAGTTCAATTTATTTATGTGTGAATAGTTTTGTAATTTGAATTAGATGGAGAAAATGCAGTAGTATAACACAAAAGCATTTTATCATTACCTCAAAGGATTTCTATTGGAGGTATCTTCCCCCCATTATAATTCGGATGCTGAAAATCAACTTGAACAAGCGGTGAGTTATATCTCAATTTTATGGTTTTATCTTTTTTTAATATTTTAATCATGTATTTTCTTAATAGCTTAAGTTGGATGAGAAACTGCTTGAAGCATATATCACTCGTGGTTATTGCTGCTTGAAATTAGGCGGGGAGAACCTTAGTAGAGCTAAAGATTGCTTTGAATATGTCATTAAAGTGGTATTTTTTTATCCTTCTAGGATTTAATATTTGTTGAAGATATGTTACTTCCTAACTTCATATGATTGATTTATGCCCAAGCTGCAATGACGTATTTCGAAAGTTAGCAATGCTTGAAATAAGAATGTTAGAAGAAAAAGTAAATATTTGTCATAATCTCTTTTATTCCTTATTAAATATTGTCTATAGTTAATTATTGAATTTATTTTTTAAGGAGTGACATTGCCGAAGAAATCTCTGATGAATGTACAGGTCATGCAAAGAAAGAAGTTCCCATGGATGTAAATGATGGCATATCATGTATAAGTGTGATAAATGTAGTAGAGAAGTTAAGACATTTTAACTGTAGTATGTTCTTGTAATTGATCGATTGTCCATTATCAAATTTGGTTAAATCCACATTATGGTTTCTTTGATGATCATCTTTTTTGGCAGATATCCTAAGAAATGCATATGCTACTGCATATAATTTTGTTTCATATTTGATTATTCATTTGTTGGGAAAAATTCTGGACATCTATAAATTGAATACATCCTTCCCACAACTGGAACATGAAAAGGTATACACAATGTAGTCCTTTAGAAAGTTTTATTTAAGGGAAAAAATTATTCTCTTCTAAGTATGTTTTTCTCTTTTTATATTAGTATTATCATGTGTATGTCAATCGACCAAACTCATATCATATAATTATCGTCATTGAAGATTTGTAATTGTTATATTCCGCATGATACCCTGAATGCGATCCCAAACAAGCGGTATCAGAGCAAATGATTCGACGAGCTGAAAATAAATACAAAGATATTCAAATCAAGTTGCATTCTGAAGCGCTACATGTGGAAATGGATTTTCAACCATATTTTCAAAAATCCTGCTGCTTCATCTTTAAGATCAAAACTTATTTTAAACCCTGCAAAGGGCTATAATACTTTTCACCCCGCAAATATTCTATTTTTAAAACTTGTCAAGCTGTAGTGATGAAAATAATGCACGTATTGAGAGATATTCAGCTGGATGAGAAACCAAAACATTTGTGTATATTTTAGTTTTTTTTTTCCTTTTTGTATTTCAACGGATGATGTGCTAATGTGGGCCTAGTATGCTTGTTGTTCAAATTAACCATAACTTGTCGTGAATTTATTACTTCAAATCTCTAATGTCTTCTATTTGTCTTTTCCTATTTTACTTTATACTTATTTCTAGTAAAATTACTGTCAAGTTTATATTACTTCAAAATTAAACTCTTCTACAAAGTAAATTTTTATTATCTCTTTCATAAAAAATTTTAAAACATACAATTAATTTTATTTGATGAATTCTATTTATATCTAAGAGTATGTAGAAAGTTTTAATTTATCTTACCTTAATTAGTGGTATTAATTTAGTTTAATTTGTAAGTCTTTTTTTTATTGTCCTCTATTCGAAAATAATAGTAACTTGTACTTTATTAACACAAACGAATTTTATATTCTGTCAAATTTCTTAGAGTTAATAATTTTTTAAATTGTTCAAATTTATTTATTTGTTAAAATTTAAAAAAATCTTGAATTAGCTGAAGTAAGATTTGTTATATTAAATAGATAATTATTTAAATAATAAAAGTAAATGGCTTTTTTGTACTTCTTTCAGAATATGTGTAATCTTACGGCTTGTTTGGATGGTTGTTACCCATTGTATTGTATCATATTGTTACGTTAAATACGATGTTTGTTTTGATTCTTACTTAAATTTTATTGTATCGTATCGTTAAATCCGTTGTTACATAACGACAAAATGTGCCACTTTATGTTACGACTTGGTGTGGTCGCGTCGTTACCTTGTCTTTTTCTTTCAATCTTACCCTTCATTATTATTAAATAATTTTATTTTATCATTTACCCTACCTTTTATACAATAATTTTACCATGTATCATAATTTTTCCTTATAATATTGCAAGTTTATTCTTCATATTGCTGGTGTGTTATATCATCGATGGCAAACGACACAATCTATTCAAACATTGTATTTATCAAACGATATAGAACAATACAATACAGTACGACACGATACATTATGAAACGATACGTAATAACTATCCAAACAAGCAGTTAAAAATATAGATGCTCCAAATTTAAAATGACTTTATTTTAACATCACATTATAAATAAAAATGATAGAAAAAAGGAGATGCTACCAAATCCTACTTCTTGTGCCCGATAGATTATTAATTACCATCGTCTTAGACTGGACCGGTTTACTCAAAATTCTGGGTCCGTCGCCGGATACAAGCAACTATATACTAACAATTCAACCACTTGTTTTCCTTCAATTTGAGTTGGTAACATATATTTATTAAATTGATGAAAAAAGTTTTAGTCTCTTTTTTTTTTCTTCTAAAATTTCTCCAAATAAAATAAGGGGCTGTTTGGCCATAAAAATTATTTCACTTTTTCTCGAAATCAGTGTCTGGCCATAACATTTTCAATTTGCACTTGAAGATTAATTTTGAAACTTTTCCGAAAATTTTAAAAACTCCAAAAAATTATTTTTCAAAATATTCACTTCAAATCACTCATAAAAATTCAAAAACAATCCAAAATTTTATTCATATCCAAACCCAACTCTAATTTACAAATACCATTTTTACTTTTTTCCGGGCTTGAAATTTTCACCATTTTCACTTGTGGAACATTAGTAATTTTTTTCTTTTGTTGAATAGTAGTAACTTGTTTAGCGTGGGCGTTGGAAGAATAGAAGCTACGAATCCGATCGAACCCAATAGTTTTGTTTCAAATTATGTATTCATTTTAAAATTTTTATTATATATATATATATATATATATATATATTTAAATTATTAATTTATAACCTAATAAATATTTAGTATCCCGAACTATTAGCTTTAAACTTTGCTCCACCTTTAAAAAGAAAACAAAGTAAGAGCTCGTTCGGACATAAAAAGAATTTCCCGTTTTTCCAAAAAGAATTCACTTTTTTTCGAAATCGGCATTTGTTAATAAAATTTCCAATTTTCACTTGAAGATGCATTGTGGAAATTTTCGAATATTTGAAAAACTCCAAAAAGATATTTTTTAAAATTTTCACTCAAATCACTCACAAAACTTCAAAACAATCCAAAATTATATTTATGTCCAAACACTCTCTAAATTTCAAATACCGAACCTTTTTTTTTTTTTAACTTTTTTTGAATTTTTCAATTCTTATGTCCAAACGCCCCCTAAGTAGAAACGACAGCAAATGAGGAGAATGCAGACAAAGTTTATTCCGAGCACAAAATAAGGAAACAAAAGAAATCTGGTCAAAGTTGGTTGCGCAATTTCTCGGGTGTTTGCCACGTTCCACTGCTATCGTTGCCGGGTTAGGTTTTCGTCAGTGTTCCGGGTCACTTTCTTTGGAGAAGTTGTACTTGCTTCCCTTCAAGGTTAGTCCGAAGCTTTTCGAGTTAGTAGAATGTCTTATTGATCTGTATTAGCGGATAATTACGTAATTGTTTGTTGATTGAGTTGGATTCCTATCTAACTTGATTTCTGATGGATATTAATATGGTTTTGGCCCTAACTAGATTGAAAAAGATTGGTTTTTACACTTGCTATAATGAAATGGCATCTGGAATTTCTGATTGCTTGATTTTGATGTTTCTTTATAAACACTCAAACATTCATGAAACATTTGATAGTCCATTGAAAAAATTAATAGGTATAAGCTCTCAAAGGAAAAGAGAAAAAGAATAATAATGAAATTAAATTATTCACCTTTAATCGAATGCAAAGCAACACAAATGTAATCTTAATTCCCTAACCAAATCCTTTGTAGAAAGCCCCTTATGGTCCAATCAACACGTTTTAGGAAAAATGGTACACCCGCTAAATATGAAAGCTTGGGGATAGGATTTTTTGCGACCCTAATTAGTTTGGAGTTTGAGAAACTGTTGATTGATTGGATACTATTTGAAAGTTTCATCAGTATAACATCAAGGGGATGCAATCCCTTATACAGAACTTTAGAGTAAATAGTAGCCTGCAAAGGCAAGAAGAAGAAGTCTTCAAAACAGAGGTAAAGAGAAAGTGTCAACTAGGACAGTCGACTATGCTAGTTGAGATCTCCGGAGAACTAATGAGTTCACCACATAAATTTGGATAGCTTTCTTTTTTTACTTATAAAAGAAATGCTTTCGTGATCAGTGCCTCAAAGTGTATAAGGGACAATTCTTCAACGTTAAAAGACCTCATTTTCCTTTCCAGCCAATTTGCATAAAAAAGCAAGGACATCGGTGCAGTGGTACTGTACTGTTTTGAGAGGCTTCCCCCGTGGTACCAAGTCAAAATTCATTAGCTAATGTCGGAAAAAGGATGTCTGTGATGAAATTGGTGTGGTGCTGACTAAAGTTGGTGATATGAGTAACAAATGTATAACTATATACCACCTGGAGAACTGTCGAAAATGGTTCATGAGTTTTATGAATCCTTTATACTTCAAAATTATAGGAGCTAATGTCAGAAGTCATGTAAAGGTCTCACCATGGAATCCTCCAATTGGACGATTAAAATTTGATGATGCTTCAGAACGAGGATCTGACCACGTAAAATAAAATGTTCTGTTTCTTGTGTTTAGGAGTTTTGAGGTATATTTATGGCCAAAACCACCACAATTTTGACTTAAAAATGCATTGCAGAAATGGTACTTCTTTTCTTATTCTTTGGTAATTAGCCCAGGCTCCCAGCAATGTCATGAGTGTAGTAACAACAGAGTAAAAGGCCAGGAAAAGTTATGGACTCTCATGAGCTGCAATATGGAACAAATGACAAATACTGAGATATAATAAATACACACACACACACATATATATAGGGGGAAAATATTGACATATTTTTGTAGAATAATTTAGAACGCGACCTTATTGTTGTGTGTATTATTGAACCATCTTTTGTGGTTATCCTTCTTGACCAAGAAAGCATTTATTTTTAAAATTCTACCTCACTTTGCCAACTTATTATATATTCTGATAGTCAGATCCTCGTGTTCTCAATTAGGTGGTGTTTTCTCAAGCAGCCTTGTTCTGATTTGACCTTTTGCCAAATTTGTTAATCTTTTCCAATTCGAAGACTGGGAATTCTGGTGGATGGCTTCCAGGCGGAATATTCCTTACAGTCGTCTCGCTGTGGATGAAGATGAGGACTATTATGGTAGTGCTGGCAGCCGACCTGACCCTAGATTTGATTATTCACCAAAATCGTTAGATAGAATCCCCTGGAAGTCCATTGCCCTTGCTCTTTTTCTGCTCTTTCTGGGATGTCTGCTTCTCTTGCTATCATACTTCATCTTATCTGGTCATATGGGAGGAGAGCGCTCACAGGCATATGGTCTTCTTGGACTTGGAATTCTCACTTTTCTCCCAGGTAAGTAAAACATTCATCTATGTTGTAGTGCTTTGGATGATAAAGCTATAAATCTTGTATAAGGTTGTTCAATATATCCTTGTTGAGAGTGCAGTAGTCCCACTAAATCAAGAGTTATGTTACAGTTGCACCATTGTTGGCAGTATGAATACCAGTTTGAATTAACAAGGTAACTTCCATTGAATCTGTGAGCATGTTAAATAAGCGAGACAGCAAATGGTAGGACTACTTGTTAATTTATCTACCTTATCTCTATAGTTGCAAGTAGGGGTGGCAAAATGGTTCAAAGAAAACAGTTAACCACCCATATTATCCACCACTAAAAAATGGGTTGGATAATGAACTTTTTCAAAACGGGTCAAATATGGATAAGAATCATATTATCCATTTAGAAAATGGATAACCAATGAGTCTAATTTTTACATTTGTAAAGCCTCAAATTGGGGATTCCTCAAGTTAGGGAGACTAAGAATTCTTCCAATCATATACAAGAACTCATGGATAATATGGGTAACCCATATTATCCGCCGGTTAACCCATTTTTTATCCGTATTAAATATGGGTCGGGTCGGATAATTGGTCCGTTTTTTCATTACCCGTTTTCGACCCGAACCATATCCGACCCGACCCGCCCGTTTGCCACTCCTAGTTGCAAGAAGCCCCATCTGAAGGTGATTGTGCTGTGCACTTAAAAATGGCCACACATTTTATATATATATACATATATATTTTGAAGGGGAACCTTGGAGCAATAGTCAAGTTATCGCCGTGTGATCTATAGGTCACAGGTTCGAGCCGTGGACTAAGCTACTAATACTTGCATCAGGGTAGGCTGCCTACATCACACCCCCTTGGGGTACGGCTCTTTCCCGAATACTGCATGAACACGGGATGCTTTGTGCACCGAGCTGTCCTTTTTTCATATATATATATTTTTTTCTTTTTTTTTCCGGATAACCGAGAAATCCCGAGAGCTAGTTGTTTGCGGTTTAAAATTCAGTGGATAATGGGCACGCACCTCTACCTTTCTTCATAAATACCAGGCAACCGGTGATGTAACCCATACATCAGGTGTTGAACACTTACTTTTGATGTTTTGGTATGTCAATAACGTGTTATAAACTTTTGCAATAGGCAATAGTGATAGATTTATTAGACTGTTCAGATTTTAGTTCAAGTTATGTTTTCTTCATGTTATTTAGATATTCAGTGTTGCATATTAAGTTCTTAATTTATGTTTTTTCTTCGCTTTTCCTTATATTGATTAAGAAAGTTCCAACAGCCACTGTGACACTTAATGATTACTTGCAGGTTTTTATGAGACACGGATTGCATATTATTCTTGGAGAGGTGCTCAAGGTTATCGATTTACTTCAATCCCTGACTATTGAGGTCTTCGCATTTCATGTAAACTTTGAGTTTAGTTACTAGTTTCTGTAATGAGTTTTCTGATAGTTTCTATAGCAGTCACGTTGTCCTTTACATTTCAAATAACTTCTGAATGTAGTTACTGGTTTTTGTAACGAGTTTGATGAGTTTGCAGCATTTATGTTGTCCTAGTCTTTTGCGGAAAATTTAGTATCGATTTTGTTCATTGTGTGTTTTTGTATGATCGGTGCCTGTGCCGGGTGTATCTGATACATCAGATTCTAGTTCTACAATGTGAACGACTAATAAGTTCAGGAAACAACTTAGGCGTTATGGTTCTTGATTCTTCAGTAGCATACTTTTATGATTTGGGACTTTCGAACTTCCAATTATTTAGTGGTTTAAAATTCAGTGGATAATGGGCGCACACCTCTACCTTTCTTCATAAATAGCAGGGTACCCGTGATGTATATCTAACCCATACATTAGGTGTTGAGCACTTACCATTTGGCCAAAACCTTGTGGGCGAAAATGGTCATATTTTTTGATGTTTTGGGATGTCAATAACGTGTTATAAACTTTTGTAACAGGCAATAATGATTATTTTACTTAATAATTTCCATACATTATGTAATTTTCTTACTTCATCTGAAGCCTACCTTATTCAAGACAACCTCAGTAGAAGAAGCATTCCGACAATGAACGGATGTTTTATGTGTCGGGAGGAATTTGAGAGTGTGAGACATCTCTTTCTTCATTGCGCAGTAGCAGCTGACATATGGAATTATGTTTTTATCAGTTCTTGGACTTGCTTGGGTCATGCCTTACGATACGATGCTTATGAGAGCTGTTGCACATGGAGAGTTGGGAAATTCATAAAAGAAAATAAATAAATAAAAAAAATTGGTAAAATTGTGCCTGCTTCTGTTTTTTGGTGCATCTAGAATGGGAGAAATTGGAGATGTTTTGACGGAATTTCAACTCCTAATCATTCTCTTAAAGCAACTTGTCTAATCAATTTATTTAATTGGTTCAACCACGCCTATGTAACTAGCATTGAATTTTTTTAGGATCGAGTATGCTCCTTAATTATTCACTAAGTTTTTGTATATTAGCCGCTACATTTTTATCCAAGTAAAGAATTAAAGAAAGAGAATTGTTATAGGTTAACGGGGTGGCATAAAAATAAAGAAATTATGACGATTCTTTTGAATACTGATAAATTAGTTCCAAGTCCAAATAAAGAAAGAGAATTGTATAGGTTAGGGAAGCAGCTTAAAAATGATAAAAAATTAGTAAAAAGTACGGACTAGCCATTTTTTGGATTGGTCATTCAAAAATAGCCAGCGTTTGCAAAGTTATTGAAAAATAGCCACTATTTTGCTGAAACTATATACTGGAGATCGACGCACCTGTGTATGAACTTCCAGCATATTGTGTTGGAACTCCAACACGCGAAAAGTTCCAGCATAATATACTGGAGATTGGAGCACCTGTGTATGAACTTCCAGCATATTATGCTAGATTGGTATATTATACTGGAAGTCTAGTATATTATGCTGGAAGTCCAGTATAATATACTAGAATTCCAGTATACTTATGCTGGATTGTAGTTCCAGTATATTATGCTGGAGTATTTTTCGGATTTTGATAAGTATTTTCGTTCAGATTTATCTTTACATGAAAAGTGGCTAAATTTCGATTACTTTTAAAATTGTGACTATTTTTGAATCACCACTTGTAAATTTAGCTATTTTTTAATTTCTCCCAAAAGAAAAATTATGATGAATCTTGATAAACTTTATGTTGATTCTAAGTTAAAATCTCTATCTATACTTTAACTAACAAGTTAACACCATCAAGGGGTGGGATAAAATCAAGAATGTTGGAAATCTTTCGAAATCTTAGAATCCAGATTAAACAAAATCTTCTTTCATCATTTAACTAGAAGTCTGGAATTCAAAGTCTGAGAATTCGGATTAAACATGATAACATCATAAATTCTGATTTCTTGGTTACGAGTCAAAACTCAAAAGTTATAGAAAGGTTGATGCTTCCTATGGTGCAGTCTGTTTGTTTGGCATCTTCACTTCCCAACCATTACCATACCCATCTCTCCCCAAAACTCAAACGCTCCTTTGATGCCAAAAACAATGTGCAAATACCCACTTCAGAAACCCTCTACAATTTCAACTCCCCGTTCGAGCTCAAACAAGTTGTTGCTTTCCTCATTAAAACCAATAAACCTCTCTCACTACTCCCACTTCCCCGTGTTGCCTCCGTTTGTGCACTTACTCCCAACTTCTCATTCGCTCAACAGATTTTCAACTGTATTGAGCAGCCAGAAGTTTCTGTGTGGAATAGCTGCTTGAGAAATCTTGCTGAGGGCAATTGTGTAACAAATGCCATTTTCTTGTTTCATCAAATGCGCATTTACAATGTTGTACCTGATATTTTCACTTGCTCTTTTGTTCTCAAGGCTTGTGTGAAATTACTGGATCTTTCATGTGGGAAAATTGTTCATGCGTATATAGAGAAACTTGGGTTTCAGTCAAATTTAGTATTGCTAAATGCACTTCTTCACTTGTATGCTACTTGTGGAGCAATGGCTGATTCCATGCTTCTGTTTGATAAAATGCCTCAACGAGATGTTGTGTCTTGGAATATAATGATTACCCAATTAGCGAAGAAGGGTGATATTGATGAGGCGTTTGAATTGTTTTCCCAAATGCCCGAGAGAAATTTAAGGTCTTGGACTGCCATGATTACGGGTTTTGTTCATTGCGGAAAGGCTAAAGAGGCTGTTAGACTTTTCAAGGAAATGGAAGAGAGTGGATTGAGTGCGAATGAGGTGACTGTAGTGGCTGTTCTTGCAGCTTGTGCTGATTTGGGTGCACTTGAATTGGGCAGGAGGATTCATGAATATTCAAATAAGAGCGGGTTTAAAAGAAATGTTCATGTTTGTAACACTCTGATTGACATGTACATTAAGTGCGGGTTCTTAGAGGCTGCAAAAGCTGTGTTTGAAGAAATGAAGGAACGGACAATTGTTTCGTGGTCTGCTATGATCCAGGGTTTAGCTATGCATGGACAGGCAGATGAAGCCTTAGAACTCTTTAACAACATGATCAAAACGGGAATGAAGCCTAATGAGGTCACATTTCTTGGAGTCTTGCATGCTTGTAGCCATATGGGGTTGGTCAATGAGGGGCGAGAATTTTTCGCTAGTATGACTAGAGACTATAACATTACTCCCCAAATTGAGCATTATGGTTGCATGGTTGATCTCCTAAGTCGTGCAGGACTTCTTAAAGAGGCATATGAGTTCATCGTAAGCATGCCTATAAAGCCAAATGGTGTCATATGGGGTTCTTTTCTAGGCGGATGTAGAATTCAAAAGGATGTGGAAATGGCCGAGGAAGCTATGAGGCACCTAGGTATATTGGACCCTCTTAATGACGGATACTATATAATTATGTCAAATATTTATGCAGAAGCTAAGCGCTGGGAAGATGCAGCAAGGGTGAGGAAGTTGATGAAAGATCGAGGAGTAAAGAAAACTCCAGGTTGGAGTTCAATAACTATAGCAGGAGTAATGCATGAATTTGTGGCCGGAGATGATAACCATCCTCAAGCAGAGGAGATCTTTGAAATATGGGACAAACTGCTAGAACAAATGAGGTTCAAAGGATATGTACCAAATACTTCAGTGGTCCTACTAGACATGGAAGAGAATGAGAAAGAAAAATATTTGTATCGCCATAGTGAGAAATTGGCCCTTGTTTTTGGTTTGATGAACACCAAACCAGGAGAAACAATAAGGATAATGAAGAATCTTCGCGTTTGTGAAGACTGTCATGCTGCTTTCAAAGTAATATCAGAAATTGTCAAGCGAGAGATAGTTGTGCGTGATAGGAATAGATTCCATTGTTTTAAAGATGGTCTTTGCTCTTGTAAGGACTATTGGTAGCAAATCTTTCACTAGGACCTTTTTGTGTACTGCAGTATATGGAAAGTCATCAGTTCATTTGAGCCTCACTAAAATCTTGCACGATTTCTTATATAGAAACTTTTGGTGAATTACTTAAATGGAACATGAATGAAAGCAGAGAGTACATGTTTAGTAGCCTTACCCAACACTAATTTTAAGGATTTACATTAATGCATCAAAAAGCACATGAATAATGTAGTGTTGTGAGAAATTTCATGGAGTAGAGACAAGAGCAGTGATATTTCTGCCATCTCCATCTTGATTATTCAAACAGATTTAAGTAACCAAGATTTTGCAGCGTATTAAGAAGTCTAAAGAAACCAATAAAGATTAGCTATTTCTTGTTCCTGATAATTGTGTACTTCGTCATCGGTCGATGTGCTATATAGTTGATATTTTTTTTAAAATTAGCTATTTATTTTATCTTTTCTTTTTCCTGAATTATTGATCTTATCTTTTGACACACATCATTTCTTCGGACCATTCATTTTTTCAAATTTACACCTTTATGTCTTTTTGTTTCTACTATTCTTCGGCTTTATGTTTCTTCACTCTATTATCATGTATCCAAATTTTGCAAAGCCGCTGAATCGAAGCTTATTCCAGAGTCATCATCTTCATTTTCATGATATCCCATATCTTAGTCTTCATCTGTGTTGTCCTCTTATGAATTCTGTTGGGTTGCTTTTTCTTTCTGTGATTCCCCTTTCAGTATGTGTTTATCCTTTGTCAAGAATTTTTCTAATGTTTGTTTAATGATATTTTTTATTTTTCAGCATTTTTTTTTTCTTGAATAATTACTTGTCTTCTTTTGAATGTCTCTCCTTGAGTAATATAATTAACTTGGCAACCTTCTTCTTTCTTTAATTTCGGGGGTTAAATTTCTACTTTTTGGCAAAGTGTCAGCCATTAACGGATTTGATATGTCTTTATCGGCTCCCGATTAAACCAGACTAGTTATATCTAGACGTGATACAATAGGTTTATCTGTATTTAATAGGGAATACACATCCGTCTCATCCATTTTTGAAGGAGATAGAGAACTCTAAGTTTGTGTAAGTTCAAGCATTAATGCGTGAATTCTAGATTCTAAAGTCTTGATTTGATCAAGAAGTTTAATTTTCTCTTGTTGTAAAAATTCATTCTTCCGATTTAGTCTTTTGAAACTCTCTGTCATGGTTGTATAATACTCATAAATTAATTTTCTGATTTTGTATCTTTTTGGA